GTGAAGACAAATGAAGAGGAGAAGAGGCAGAATGCAGTAAACAATTCATTGTTTATCCTACAAAATTCAGAAGAGTGAGGGGACATGTGGGTTGGGAGGGATGGGGTGACATTGATGGAGATGTGTGGTATAAAGGGCTATGTTGAAGGGCAATTCCTTTGTACAACCCCTTAAAGATAAGGAAAATATTATTGAATACTTCGAAGACTTTTATAATATTGGATGAAACTACTTTGAAAACCAATATGCAATTACCTAAGACAATTATTCTCATCAATGTTTATCTTCACAAGAAAGAGCTCTGAAAGTTATTAGGTATGTATTGATGGGAAAATAATTTCAAGAGTATTTAGGGCTCAGGTTACTACCCAAATCAACAAACAATATTTATGTTTATAACTGCAAATTATTTCGTGAAATTGAATACTGGTTGTGCAGAAGACCATGGCAAACCCTTTAAGCAAGAGAATGCATTCTGGCCTGCGTTTAAACGTAGAATTCTTTGTGTGCATGTGGAAATTCAGGAAGATTTATTTTCCATTTCATGATGTATGTTTTGATTATGAGAACACAATTGGATCTGTCTTCAGGAGTATTTTTGTTCTATAAAACAGGATTATAATGCATTTGTGCAGACAAAATAGGTGATTATAATGACTGTGGCCTTGGCAAATTCTGTGTGATAGAGACATAAAGTGATCTAGTCACCATTTTATCCTTTTTCAGCTCTTTGTAGACAGTTACCACCATAATCCACTCACCCTGCTTAAAATGGCCTCATTTACTGTTGCATCTCTAATACTTAATATAAGCTTACATATGCACGTGTCCCTGTACACAGACAGACAGGAAGTGTGGATATGCTGGATTCTCTCTCCTCCTTGTTTTATGGGTGTGTGCCACTTGAATTGATGTGCTTTGCCTCCTCAGGTGTGGGGTAATTTTTAAAGGAAAACGTCTGAGGCCAGAGGCAGACTAGAAGAAGCTCCTGGGACTCACAGTGCCAATCTAGATGGACATCTTTTCCAAATATGATGACTAGGATAAAATTCCCAATAAATGATCAATTTATCATATGGTAGAAAAGTCATTATTTATGCTCTCTGGCACAGCTTATATGTATTAAGTTGGTCCTCAGTCTTCGGTAGAATATCTGCCAGTGCTTTTTTGAGTCAGAAGTGTGAACATTTTAATTTAAACATGACCGGAAGTTAAAAGACTATTTATTATTTTAAATGACCTTGTCATATAAGTGGAACAGAGAAATATCGTGGATTGTTAAATTTTGGCAAGGTCATCTGATATATTCCTATAAATGTTCCCCAAAGGTCTTTTTCATTTGGGATAAACATTCCTAAAATAAAATAAGTTTATGTCAAATAAATATTGACATGCTTTTTAAAGGTCGTTTGACACAGGCTAGAATATTAACAGGAGGCTGAGTTTGATGTATGTGTTTTCACCAAAAAGTGGCATTGAAATTCACCAAAATTATTTTTACACAATAAATCCCAAAGAGTAAGAAATCGTAGCAATGCATTTTGAGGCCCTGTAGCTCCTGAAGTCCCCTGTCAGGAAAATAACTCAGGCTACTCACATGCAATGATTTTAAGAAATGTTTTCCATAAACCATTTACATAAATAATTAGAAACCCAAGGTCCTGTAGTGAAGAAATAGATTTTTCTTCAACCTATTTTCTGAGATCTTTTATTTTTCCTTTTATGAAGTTTGCTTCATAATTGGCAAAGGAAACAAAAGAAGGTCTAAAGAGGCAAAATTAGCAGTGAAAAGATAGTTTTCTATTATCAAAGTAAATGATGGATTGACAGAGCCAGAAGCAAAGGTCCAGGCATTTGTTTTCTAATGTATATTGCTGTTTCACATGTTTGTGGAAAAGGGTATATATATGAGGATGAGAAACTGTTCTTCCCGGATGCCAAACAGCAGAGAACGAATCTCATCCTGCTATAAAGCCAGACGTCCAGTTTGCTTATCTAAAGTGACGTGGCTCTCTGGCTGCATGTCCTTCAGAATAATTTCATTACCTCTAGGTCTTGAAGAGAAACACAAGTTTTCTTTCTACTTCAGAACAAACTTTGGTTGAGATTCAATTTTAGAAATGACTACATCTTTCAATTTTGGCCATTTGTGCCTATCTGGGTTGGAAGGGAGGCCTCTCAGTTAACACTGGTAATTGATGGAAGAAGTGGGTCTGGCATCTTCATTTTTAAGACTAAAGTAACTATAGTGCTAGGCCCACTTCCTCCAGAGCCACTCATGACTGCTCCCGTGGGGTTTCTCTCTGAAGTCCCTTTGGGGGTGGCATTGTTGTTCTCCTTACACTGTCAGTTGCTGTCTTCCTCCTACTAAATACATCTCCCCAGCCAAAATACCACCATTAAAAATATTACAGGAGTCACGGGCAGGTTATAAAAGTTTCAAATGAGGATGTCAGAGGAAAAGAATATAGGTACATTAATCCCAATAATTCATAATTGTATAAATCGTTAGGCAGAATTCACTATAAGTTACACACAGATGTATGAATGCATACAATCTATAATGAATATATTCATTCTGGGAATTATAGGAAACCACACACATCTCAGTTCTCCGGAGCATGGAGATCAGTGAGTTTTATAAGGTCTAGGTGTTGGTAGAACTTCATCTCTGCAAAGCCATATGCTAGAGAAATAATGGCTTTTGTGTCTATGCTACTTTCTAAATCTCACATGACTATGCTTCCCTGGTGGAATCCAATCCAGAGCCCTGACCCTACACACCACAAAAGGAGGAAAATGGTCCTGACTATTGTTATACCTCTATATGCTATCATTTCCATTGTGTCATGCACACATGCAGAACATGAAGCAAGGGTCCTCCGGGTTATTGTGCTATTTGAATCATAGCCACCTGACTGCCGATGAGGACCTCCTCACTGGTAGTAGGTGTTTGATGGATCTTGGCACAAGAACTAGGATGATATTCTAACAGAAGGCAAAATTTAAGTGGGGTGATATGTCAAGCTTGTAAGAAGTAGTGGGAAATGGTACTTTAACACAATGGTACTGACTGCTGCTAACTGAAATTATTTCTTTGAAAAGGACAAAAAAGGAGAGAATGGTTAATTGGCTATTAAAACCTAACAATAAAATGGAGAAGGCCTTTTTGGTAGCAAATAAATAGGCTTTTATCTGCAGTGGAAAGATAGAAAAGTGAGGAACAGGAGACCTACAAGTTAATCATAAGTGTGGCAGAGCTCTAAATACCATCGTCCTTGAAGCCATCTAGAATGGCTATGCAAAGCTCAGGGTGCTCAATCAGAGAGAAACAGATTCTGTCCTGATGGGCTAGACTGTGATGGAGTAGGGATGCTGAATCATGGTGGTTGATAGGGTATTGTGTTTAACTGGTGCCATTTTGTCTTCATGGTGGAGGCAGGCAAGTCCCACCTCCAAAGTGCTAGGCATGCCTGAATTCTTAGAGATGGGGGTGGGGTGGACTTGAACAATAGGTTACTGGACCTGCCAGTGTTGGGTCCTGAACTCTTAAGCTCCCTGTGACCCTGTCCCCTGACCTGACCTGACCCTATTTAGGCCAGGACCAGCTCAAGTGCCAGGATGCCATGCCTTGTGTCCTGTCTCCTGGTTCATCTCTGGTCACCATGGTGTTCCACTTCAGCTCTCTACTGGAGCTGATCTGGTTTGTTGGTATTGTTTTTCTGCTTTTTCTCTCCTCTCCTGCTCTCATGGCTCACTTTTCTGACATTGTTAAGTGTATTTGCATGTCTTTGGGACGAGTCTGCCTGCATTCACCAGCTTTCCAAAAAAGACTCCCAATTTGACCTTTCAAAATGTAGTTTCTCTGCTTTCTTGCCATATAACTTGATTTAGATTTCCATATTCTCCCGAACTTTTAAAATCTAAAATGGTTCAAAAGTCCTGATGAAGGCTTTCCTTGCTTAGAAACTATGCCAAACGTTTCCTCCTTTTCATAAAACCTATGTCTCCCTCTGGGCCTGTTCTTAGCTTCTGTCTGGGTCATTAGGTCTAGAACTAGGATTACGTTACAATATTGCCCAGCACCAATATTTAACTGACAGGCAAAGGCTCTGTGGTAACAGGTAAGAGGTCCACTCGGGTGGTTAAAGAGATAAATAATATGACGAACCCAGGATCAAAGTGAATGAGCTGCAAATACAAGCTCTGTTCAATTAATATAGAACCAAGGCTAGATATGATCAGGAGACTGAAAGCAGTGCTCACATAAGGAGGTACGATTCCTGACCAGTTTCTGGGGTAGAGCCGGTTTTTGGATTTGGAAACTATGAACTGAAAAGAGCCAAGATTCATGGAGGCAGGCACATAAATATCATAGATGTGTCCATGCTAACCATTCCTCCACGTGTTCTCCATTCTTTGCAAATCCCCTATACCATGGAAAAAGGAGACTGAGATACTTTTCTATGGAATGATAGTTATAGCAGTCTACCCGTTCTCTCTTCAGCACTGTATTTAAAAAAAAATTGAAGAACTAAAATTGCCTTATTCTTCTATGAATTTTAGGGGAACATACATATCTTTCCACGGGACTCCTATTTGAATCGACATTGAATAGATTTCCCAGTGATAATATGGATATGCATATATACATGTGTGTGGGGGGCAGGCCTGGGGCTTGAATTCAGGACCTGGCTGCTGTCCCTCAGCTTCTTGCTCAAGGCTAGTGCTCTACCACTTCTGACTTTCTGCCGGTTAATCAACGGAGATGAGCCTCACGGCGATGCTGCCCGGGCTGGCTTGGCACTGTGATGCTCAGACCCCAGCCTCCTTGGCAGCCTCCTCCCTCTCTTCCCCCATCTCTCTTGCGGGTCTCCCTTCCGGGAACCCAAGCCACGCCCCCACGAGTGGGCGTGTCCAAGGCGGGGCCTCTGGTCCTGGCGTGCGGAAGGACGCTGCTGACGCAAGCGGATATCCGGTTCTCCCACCGTGCCCACACGCAGGCTTCGTCCTCCTCCCGGAGTCCCAGCCCCTGCTTTCCCCCCGCCCGGGGGTTGTGGCCGGGGAGTTGGATCCACTGCGATCTCGGGGACCCGGGACCACGCTGTTCCTGCACCTCGGCGTGGGGAGGAGGCCGGGCCTGCCCGCGAGGCCGCGCAGCGCCCGCCCGCAGCGCGCGAGGTAGGAGA